TTAATGAGACAAAGTCTCTTAAGAAATCCAATAAACGATGTCTCTAGGGACAAGAGACATCTTTATCAAAAACCATCGAGTGATAGGTTAACCCAGTACCGCACGCGACAATAAGCCAGACATTCAGATAGCAAATGATAAATGCGTTTTCCACTTTATGTCTGTCTCCGCTGTCACATCACCCACTGTTTGATGATGACGTAACGATGATGGTTACCCTAGCGACGTGATCTTAATCAAGGAAACATATCACCGCACGGCACTTTGAGATACAGAACAAAATGGATTCATAAATTCGCACAACGTCGAGGGAATACCAGCTTTATATGTTAATCACTGCCGTAGCGACAAAAAACCTTGTTGACAAGCACACGTGTATTTGTATTCGCGTCTGTTCAGTCTCGGAATTTCTATTTTACTAATAATATTTCTAGCCTTGTTTCGTGGCCAGTGTTGCAATTTCAGGCTTCAAAAGAGACATTTCAGTGAATCTAATCTTCATTTAAGCCTCTAAACGGCATTTCGAATTCTGTGTTTTAAAGCCAAGTGATATATAGGAAATCAATAAAGACATGGTCTTGAACATTTCTAGAAATACAGACGCAGTTTCGTATCTGTAATTACATGTCGAGTCGTCTGTGGCATGTGTGGTTAACACCACTTCCCTCGGGAATTAATCAGTCCGTCCGAGTAATCGGGGTTATGGGTTCAATATGCGGTCGGATTAACCTAAATAAACAGAGATTTTTCTTTACCATCATAACATACTACATGTATCGCTTGGCAAGTATAACATGTCACGAACGCGCATATAAACTACTTATCAGTCCTTGGTCAACGAATTAGCTCCGGGAAGCTCAGGACATTTAACCACCTCCCTAGCTCGTACATCGTTCCATGTTGATATAGCTTGTTGTCGGTGCAGTGGGGATATATAGGGTTTATCAGGAACATGTAACCCCCTCCGTTGATTTAAGAAAGAGTGTTTTTGTCATTTTTCTCCCTTGCATACCATCACCCACTCACCTACGCGCATGCGGTCATAATGGATTAAGTCAGTTCAAGGCTGTTACCGCTATTTCTCAAGAAGTACTATACAGTTCTTTCTCAAATTTTATTTGAAGGTTCCCAATGGTCTGTTATTGTGCATGTTCCATATTGAGAGAAAAGATGGCCTTCGGGCAGCCATCTTGTAATTTGACAGTTCAAGTTTGTTTTTGCAGTTTCTTAATGATTTTTCTAAATTTCCATATGAAGATTCTCTTTGGACTGTAGTTGTACATGTGGAATCTTAACATGACTCCGGGCAGCCATTTATGATTTCAGCAGTTCAAGATTGGTCTGAAGTTATGCATGTTACATTTTGAGACTGTTCATAATTTACAGCTAAGTAGACTGGAACAAGCGGAGTAAAGTATATTGCTTTAAGATACAACACAGTGCCTTGCCGTGACTCGAACGCGCAACCCTTCGGTCACGAGCCCGGCGACCTACCAATAGACTACCGTGCTTCTATCTATTTGATAGATCTTTCTACATGTGTTGATTCCTTTTGAATAAGTAAATGGAAATTCTTGATGTTCTCTAGTTTTGAATATTTCGATTTGAACTTGAGGTCACCTTATCAGCTAGAAGGAAAATATGGCTGCCAGAAAAAACATCAATCTGTTTTATTCTTTACATATTTTACACGTCACAATTTTTGTTTATAGGTCAAATGAGGACCTGATTTAAAAGGCCAATGTCAAACCAGTTTGTGTGAACATTTAATCAAAAGGTTATGTACCACAAGATACATTTACTGGTGATACGACTGTCACCTAAATCGATATAAGGAGACAAAAGACCAAACTTTATAAGACCTAATTAATATATTGGTTGGCGTCAACATTCCTTTTGAATGTCTTGTCTATAAAACGACTAAATTCAAAAGATTTGTGTCAAAATCTTTTTTAGCTGTCGCTAAATTTGATTTGTTATTGATATAAAATTCCTTCAAGAATTTAAAAGAAACATTCGTTTTTTTGTTGTTGACTGTACTCATTGCTACTGATTCCCAAGATTTACAAATTCTCTTCCTGACTCTACGCATAGAATCACGTAGCTCTGGTATAGCTTACAAACCATTGAGATTTGCTTTTGAAGTTCATCAAATAGTCGTCTCGTTCCCATATTTACAATTCAGCCACTTTTTTACGCATATCAACAGGGAAATGATAAATATAATGGCTCAAATGTCATCTACCGGAAGTTTTAAAACCGGGTACATTGTATCAACATACGTCAAACTATTCAGGCAAAATAGATATCTGTTATTTTTTACAACATTAAAAGAAACCCGTGCATAAACATGTACAAGTAAGCTATTGCAGGATTCTCAGAAAAATAAATGTTCGTGGAAATTAAGAGATGGATAGTAATGATGTAGAAAAAGTACCATTTACGCCCGAACAACAGCAAACACACGTCCGGACATGATTGAATTTGTACCGTGCTGTAGTCTTCGCCTTTCTGTCTGCTATATATTTACAGATGTGCAGTTGCCATGGAGATACGGACATTACAATCTGATTTAACTTTTTTTCCAAATTCTCGAAATCAAATCTGGTCTCTTTACATCCGAACAGACATGCTATGGTATCGCATACCTCCTCCCTCGAGGCACCAAATACCGAGGTCGTATTTTTAATCAAACTTGGTATTGATTTTATTTCAAATACAATTCGACCTGCCAGTTAGGTTTCCTTGATCCTGAATATATGTTTAAATGAAACCTCAAATGAAACCTCATTTAAACCCAGTGTTTAATGGCATTTTGAAAATGAAGCGTTTCTGTGCTGATTCATTTTAACATCGTCAGTTCGACGCTTGAATAACCGACTCATACGTGTATTATGTTGAAAATACAATATTCGATCAGTTCTATTTCTCGAACAATAGACTTGCTGTAGCACGTAACAACGCTATGCAGGCTATCGTGTAGTTGAAAATTAATTTGTCTGGCTGTAAATAATATAACGTCATTTAAAAATCAGAAATAAGCTCTTAATATGGGTGTTACGACTCACGCATTCTGCATGAACAGCGTGTGTTATATTTGATTGGTTTTCGTGGATTTACAAATCCGCAAAAAAAACCCCGACAATACTTTAATAATAACACACGTTGTATAATCTAAATATTAATGTTTAGCCTCAGACTGTTTCGAAGTGTGGATTATGAGAATTCTTAAATATCAAATAAAAAAATAAAAATCTACGAGTGTCTTGGATTTATTTTAATAGTATATATAAAAATATACATATAAATATTCTGGCAAGGTTTAGGGAAGCGCACAAATGTTTCCCGTTTCCTAGAAATGTTGAGATTGGCAATATCCCTTATAGAGTAAAATCGATGGCGCTGTGGAATTTTCTCCTCGGGAGGGTGATATCCTGTCGTACATGTACATGTCCGTCCACCAAACATACGGACTATTCATCTATTCAGACAATCAGGAACCTCTCGTGATTGATGTCAAACTCTAACCCACAGACAAGTCTTGGTCTCGACACCCGGTATCCTCCAACCAACGGCACACCTACTCCTTATTGTTGATAGCCCGTAGTGTACACAAAAACAACGCCTTTCGCTCCTGAAACAAGGTATCAAGTCTGGAATTATTTCCAAACATCACAAGTGCTCAATGTTATTAACTTGTTGTATTGGACATGTACTTCACAATAGTTTTAACAAGGAGGAGTTCATTAAATGTTTGATGTAGAGCATAAGTTATTTACTTTACACATGTTAAGTTTGAACTTGGTGAAACGTCTAGTCTTAGAGGAAATCAGAGTATGCGGGGTGCAACTAAGACAGATTTAATTGATGCGCTTTTGTTTAAAATTGCAAACGACGCAAAAACAATTATGTTTTAAAGGAGATTGTGATTAAATCAAAAAGAAATTCTGTCGTTTTAAGAAATAAGTCATTAAAACAAATATTTCAAGAAAAAATTCTTAAATTTGATTACAATGTTCAATTTGTCCTCTTATCATTAAAACTCGAAGGTAATTAAACACTCAAACTGTTAATTTCACAAGTCGAGCCCCATCCCCAAGAAAGCACATGCAATCAATAGAGATATCGCGTCATTAGTTCTCGAACAAAGAGAAAGTACAGCTTCTCTTGCACTAAACATATGTCGAATTTGGCGCCAAGGAAAACTCCTTAAAACAAGTTAATTGGGTCGGTAGTGCTAATAATGAATAAATAGTCTGGCTCCCGGTCGGGGTGTTGTTATATGAGGCATAATTAAGTTATTTGATACCCGCGTCAGATCCAAATATAAGCACGGTTTCCCGCTCTTGTCACTTGGTACGGTGACTGGGACTAGCCGGTTATGTTGCCTAGGAACGCAGAAATGTGATAATCAGAAAATTCATTATAAATTTTGTGGTGATTGATTATATGTCAGGTTTCATGTACATTTCATATGTTCTCAGCTCCGTTGTAAACGACGTGTATTGAGAAATAGACGTTGGTTTTTGCATTGAACACAACCGTAATACGTGTATATAGTCTATTTCATACATTGTACAGTACAATGTACTATATATGTAATATAACGTACCGAACTCAATGTCAGGATTCGTACGGACATTTAATTTGATGACAGCCGAGATTCGTTAATCCTGCCTACACTTATTCGGTATTTTCGACAGCCAAGGCATTATATTAAGGGACATATTGACAATTTTTCTTTCGAAAAAACCTATGTCCCAGCAATACCGCCATGGCACTTAACAGCAGCATATGTTTGGAATGAAGGTTCATGAGTGGTTTATAGTGGCTTGACAGTGCGTTGTAATTAGAAAAGGCGTCTCCAGTGAGAGAGACACGATTTATAAATAGTTCGTAATCAAATGTTCACTATGTACCTACCTACAATTTAAAGGACGAGCTATATTTGTTTGTGTTAAGGCTATCGGTGAAATCCGTGTATTGTAAGGACTGATCATGAACTTGGTTCCCTATACTCAATAGACGGACACGGTTCATGCGCCCAATCGTTCTCTTCACCGCTGTTGGTTTTCTCATTCAGTCAGGCCGTTATTAACACTAGTGCACAATCTATCGGCGCGCACATGGGAAATGGTCGTAAGCAGAATAGCGTCTATGGACGTTTAAATACCCTATTAACGAAACGTTCTTAGGGATTCCTGAATGGCGACTGTCACACAGTAAATTGGGACGCCGAGGGACATATACAAACTACAAATACTAATTATATACACGCAATCGCGACATGTGACCAGGAAGCTGCTGGTGTTTCTGTATAGATAACGGGTTGACAATAATGTTTGACAGCCATTAATGGATATGAAGAATTTTCTTAAATTCAAAACAGGAGAAAATAGAGATTTAAGGAAGTTTGGCGAAGAATATTATTTACGTGAAGCGAAATTATGGCGCCCCTTTCGGATAGGTGGGTTGGCGGCCATCGCCATAGCCCTACCATTAACTTTGACAGCCATTTTGAACGACACATGGATATATGGAGAAGGTAAGTGATATAAATACTCACTGTAGTTATATGTATGTTTGGTCTGTATTGATATAAATATGTTATTATTTCCTGTGGTTGTTTCTGTTGGCACTGTTTTATCATCTGTCGCTTTGCTTCGCTGACGACAGAAACTGATTTAGATACGTTAGCTAGTGTATTCGGCTGATTTCAGTGCATATTTTATTCTGAGACTAGTGGATGAAAAATCGATAGATCGATAAACACAGATGCTGATGCTGAGATATTCTGGTATGGCACCGCAGTGACAGAGTCAGGTTAATATAATTACGTAGTGTGTAGAGAACATTATGTATTTACTGTGTATACAGGGTAATTATATACAGGGTGGCTACGTAGATACACTTTACGTCTTTTACACGTAGTAAAACGTCACCTACAGTGTAATTAACATTGACACTTTGGACAACTGAACAGGAAAAATTTAGCGATAGTAGAAATATATGACTGTGCTCATCTAAAACACAGAAGCCAGTGACATGAGCAGTTTAACAGTTTCATCGCTGGGAGACACACGCGCAGGTTTGGCATAGGGACAACTGAGTGACACACTCGCAGGATTGACATTAGGACAACTGGGTGACAGACACGTAGGATTTATAGTGGGACAACTGAGTGACAAACATGCGATATTGACAGTGGGATAACTGGGTGACACACACGTATGGTATATAGTGGGACAACTGGGTGACACACACGTAAGATTGACAGTTGGAAAACTTGATGACACAACATAGGATTAACAGTGGGACAACTGGATGGAACACACGTAGGATAGACAGTGGGACAACTGGATGGCACACACGTAGCACACACGTAGGATAGACAGTGGGACAACTGGATGGAAAACACGTAGGATAGACAGTGGTACAACTTGGTGACACACTCGTAGGATAGACAGTGGGACAACTTGGTGACACACACGTAGGATAGACAGTGGGACAACTTGGTGACACACACGCAGGAATGAGTTTAAAATAACACGCATGATCACTGACACGCACACAGTAACATTGAATTTGAACTACTGCATCACAGTTTCTTTTCAATGACACCTGAACAACTGAATCATTTTGACAAATACAACATAGACACGGAATAGAAATTAAAACTGGAACATAACATTGTCTCTTGAACGACACATTAGTTTGACACGCATGATAACATTGAACAAGATACAGCAACATTTACTTCTTGACAACAGAACCGGTTGCCATACACACATTATTACTGGCACAGTGACAACTGAATTAGTTTCACTCACACAATGTAACTGACATTAAGACAACTAGAATACATTAACGCTGCTCTATTGACCACATGACCAGTCTGACACAAGTACAGTAAGAACAACTCCTTAACAACTTAACTATCCCTGTCCCACAGCACTACATATTTTCCTATATACAGTAACCTCCCCTTTACTTCCGTTGTGATTTAACTATAGATGACTTTGGCCGGAACACTTCGATGACAAGATAGCTCCATCGGTTAGAGCGATAGTATAACAATCCGAACTCCTGTGTTGAATCTCAGTCTAACCCCGCAGAAATTTTATATATTAAAAATACTTAATAATTGATAATATTTTGTTTATTTCATCATTATCATTTCTCATAAAAACCCCGCAAGGGATAGTTTTCTTTTTAGAAATGATTTATCAAAACTATAGTCAGGCAAGCAATAATAATATCCAACACTTAGTTACAGTTTTTGGCAGCGGTACGGGGATCATTTAACATATAAAGATACAAGCGCTAGTGATTGACATGACCTATACGTGTATCTCTATATCCAACCTGTGAGGATAGGATGTTCCTTGCAATGATCATAGTCAACAATAACCTATTGTGACAAATGCTTTAAACATTTAGAATGAAGGTTTGGTTAGTAGGTATGTAGCCAGCGGGTATATCTATTCACTGTGTTTGCCCCTGAAGTCGTTCGCTTTAGAAATGAATTAAATTGATCTGTGACAATGGGAGATTTAAACTTTCCTTTGTGTGCTGTTTATCTTGTATTTAGACTGCAAGAGCAAACCTCGACTATAGAATGTATGTTTTAGTATCGTATGACTTTCAACGTTTTTATGTTGGATTGTAAACCCCTAATAAACCCCTAAGGAAACATTCGAATACATTTGGGCATTCCTATAAAGTAATAAACATCGATGTTTACGTATAAATATCTGTTAGGAATAAATGTAAGCGCGCTCAATGACACTTAACCTCAGTTGAAACGTAGATTTTATGTTTTTTTGATTGTCCAAAATGTTAAGCATTGTCAGCTTTGAACACTAAAGTCTCAAAAATAATCGAAATGAAAGAAAGTAAAAATGCATAAATGTTAATATATTCTATTGATAAGGATACCATTTTTGAAAGAAGGTAAGATTTGCCTAATTCCTGTACTTCAATTTACATGTACCAACACAACAAGATAAACAAACACCCACGCGTAGAAAATATTATGAATGCAATGTCAAGATGACAATGCTTGATGTATTAAGATCATGCTGTCGGCACGATGCCTTGTGACACTGGACAGACATTGTCGTGATATTCATTGTATGGTGAATATTGACAAATATAAATATCAAGCATTTCCAGAACTGAGCGATATATTACTTTTATATAAATCACGCCATTCTGCTGCATCAGCAGTATTGATTTAAACGATTCTTTTGCAAAAATGTTTTCTTCATTGTCTTAGTAAAGAAAAATCTGTGTGAAGACAAACTATCTCCCCGGCAAGCTAACAATATTCTTGAATGTCAAAATTGTGTTTGCTTACTAACCGAAATATTTTAAACTCGTTCATAATAGTATCACTTGGTTAAGATAACTATACTTTTAAATTACGATTATCGAAAGATTTTAGACTCGTTCTTAAAAATATTCCCATTTAAAGCTAACTAAACATTTTATAGTACGATTATCGAAAGATTTTAGACTCGTTCTTAAAAATATTCCCATTTAAAGCTAACTATACTTTGTTTTAATATTATTATTGTGCATGCAGCTTATCGGGATTTTAAAAATTCCTATGATATAGTGGTAAATATTAATGAGATATTTCCAGACTCTTACGAGAGAGTGGTATAAGTATTGGATGTTCATTTCATGACGTAGCAATACAGAAAAAGATATTACCGATCGATGCTTCATAACTTTATGGTTTAAGAGACGAAGCTTTTGGATATATTGCCTTTAATCACGAATCTGACAGTGAGATATAACGTGTTACAAGTTGGCATGTAAGGAGTGCTTATTTACTGTTTTAATGGCAAAACCAGCAGAAATAGTCACTTGATAATTCAGAATTCAAGAGAAAGTTCATGAACGATACATTCAAAATTTTAATCCATCTTTCAGATTTTCAAAATATTCATTCATTCAAATTCCTCTCTTTCAAAATAATAGTTTTTCTACTTTTCACTTTATGGCGACCGTTTCGAATTCAAAGGTAAAGAGCATTTTCATATTTACTTAAACAGTTTTGAAAAAGTTTGTGAAAATTCGTGAAAAAACCACGGAAATCTTGATAGAAGAGAGGACATCAGTTAAATACGTGGAATCAGTTTTCCACATATGCAGGAAGTTTAAATGTAGGCACGATCAGGTTTATGTCAGGTTTCCAATTTGCAGAAACACATGCTTTTCACTCAACAAACGTTTGCGTTTGTGATTTTATCTTTCGGCACAATACGTGAACGTATTAGTCCTCACTTGATCATTAAATAAACCAAGAAAAAAACAATGTTGTCAACTTAACAGAACGTTGTTCTGTAAACATGTTGAACAGCATTATATCTGCCCTGTTGTTAAATTTTCATGATATAATTTTTCAGATTTCAACGTGGGATTATGGGAGAGAAACTGTGTCCACATGAAGAATCACACATTCATCGACTGCTCTGCGATCAACAATGGTGAAGCACCCCCAAGAGTTTTCAGAATTTAATAGGTCGCACGGTAGTCTAGTGGTAGGACGCCGGGCTCGCGTCCAAAGGGTTGTGGCTTCTAGTCACGTCACGGTATTGTGTTGTATCTTTGAACAAGATGCTTTACTCCGCTTTTTCCAGTCTACTCAGCTGTAAATGAGTACGTGGTTGGGCAGTGCTAGAACTGTTAAGTGCTAGCACCGGCTGTATGCTCCCCAGGGAGTCAAGAAACATATTGGCCGTTTGCAAATGCCCTATAACCACGGATAATAATTTGTGAACCACTTTGAGACGACCTACATGTACACACTAGGTTGTGATAAAGCGGTTTATAAGAACATCAAATTATTTATTATTCTTATTAGTATCGTATCATATTCCTGATGCTACAAAGTAAAATTACGCATTCTTATGTATCACGAATTTAAACGATTGTGATCGATAGTTAGTACTCAAAAAGACAAGATTGGCTTGATTATCCGATAAAACAAAATAGTATTGTATGGAGAATTGTATTTTTTTCATATTTACACATAAAAGGAGCGGTTTGCTCCGAAAAAATTACACCATCATTTGTCTACAGTGTTAGAATTACTTCCTAGCCCCACATACATATTTTAAATAATACTGGATCCTAAAAACATACGTTTGCAAGAATCCAGTGTTATTCGGGAAGTTACCGTTAATATTTTTTATTTGACCCATTTATATAATATATGGATATTATAAAAGCAGAAAAGTTATCCTTACGGAAAAAGTAAAAATATAAAAAGAAAAAACTCACAACAACGAGTCGATTCTTCGGACTATATATATATTATTTATATTTTCATAAATAGACCGGCATTGGATTTTGCAACAGGATGAGAGGATGGAAAAACTAATCATTCTTTACCTTATGAGAAACCTACCATTAATGGAGGTTATTTAATGCCGCACTCTCTGCATGCTTTGGGATTGCAATATTCTAAAACCTTATCTCTAGAGTCAATATTTCGTTTTCATACCTGAAATGAAGCGACGCATAAGCATTTCTTTCAAATGCATAAGTTTATACAAAAGCTGTTTGTAGATATATATATACAGAGTAACTAAGTCACAGTGACATAAATATTGTGGTTTTTTTAAAAAAAACACCAGAACCGTTGTAGACTATAAGATAATAGTTTATAAAGGATAAATGTGTGATTGCGAAAACTTAAACAAGGGCATGCAAGTTGTAGTAAAATGATGAAATGGACACGATAATTAAAGATTCACAACTGCTGTAAATTTGATGCAGTTAATAAATTTAGGCTTTTTTCAATGATATATAAGCAAATAACAGAGAAAAACAAACACAATTCAGTCGGCTCGCATGGTTAGACAGTAGAATACGTCAGATCTATAATGGGAAGGAGTATTTATAGTTTGTTAAGGACAATTGTCTTTAGCATATTTATCATATTTCATTTATTCAAATGCCAATGCGTTGTCATATAAACAAAAAATATTTTGTGTTTTGTCAGGAAAATTGGAATATTTTGCAAACATTAATAGATTCTTCAAAATATATAGTAATTTGTTCTATTTCACAAATTGGATATAAGAGTCTCAACACCAGTTAATTTAAAATAATTTAATGAACATGCTATTAGGCTTTTAAAAAACCTTTTAAAGTTATTCGTATTTCACAAAAGCATATTAAATGGCCATACGGTGCGGTAAATATCAATCGATAAATACGTATGCTTTGTAGCTTTTTCTTACCGATGCATTTATTAATATGATTAAGGTTATCATAATTCAATATGTTGTTTTTTCCCTCTTAGTAAACTATATAATTCTAAGTAAAAAGAAAACGGATCATTTTAATGATAATTGAATTGGAGTTCATGTATGCAATGCAGACATTTTCGCTAATTTCACGTTTACTAAAATAACGCAAAAATAAGCAAACGCAAATTTATTTACACGTCATCAAATATGTTTGAAATAGCATATTGCAAATAAAGAACTTCCGTTTGAAGAGTCGTGAAGTTAAAACGTTTATAGAAAAATATAAAACAGTAGTCAAAATGCAATTTGCTTGCTACAAATAGAAGCCCAATTGTGTATTTTACCTATATAATTGGGTTCTTACGAAGTGTTCTTTGTTATATTTCATTCCCAAATGTTATTATAAAATAGTAAAACAATTTGGGTGCAAAAAATATGCTGCACGTACCACCTGGTTGTATCGGGGTTCATTAATAATGCAAATGCCGGCGTAACAGCTACATTCTAGCTAGGCAGAGCGTGGATCGCGACTGTGCTGAATAATGCAAGACCTTAGTGAGACATGGCGTTCTGTGCTGTATATACAAGTGTTGTTGGAGACAAAAGTCTGCATTCTGAACACAACACCGAGTCACGACACAAAATTGTGTCCGCTTTGATATGAATAATCACTGTCAACAGTTACCGTAAATATTATAAACATTGCAAAAATCATTAACATTTTAAACAGTTATATCATAATGATAAAAAGTTGCTCACAGATATTTCGTATTGTTTCTAAAACGTTTCATTGGATATGTTTCCAAGCAACTGTTTTACTTGCCATATATGAAATAAGATTGAAATTGGATGTTATCTTAGCTGATTTCGCGTTTACTAAGTCTGCTTGAAAATAACAAGACTACGAGAAATTATTTCACTGCAGCAATGACAAGGCAACAATTTTTATATCGCTTATGGTTCGAGTAGTCAAAACGCAAGATTGTTTTACTTGGTGTAGCGTCTTATTTTCATCAAAGGTCATTGGAGGCCGTGCCTTCATGCGTTGCGTAATGAATACACGTATGAGTATGTGTCTACTTGCAACAGTATCTTGGTGTATTTCCGACCTTGTGATAGCGCAGATTTGATGCTGGTATTGTATTAGAGTGCTACCTCACCGAAATATCATGCCGAAGTCACCAAGCAGACTATTCCACCCTGTCATAGTATACTGACAACAGTTAAGAAGTTGTAACGATTACATTAAAAGCTTAACTTTTAGCAAGGAATAGCAACTACCATTTTTAAGGGCGTTGGCTTGTCCTGGTCTGGGGACAGAACCCAGTGCATTCCTCACATAGGCAAATATTCAACACCAGTGCCAAAAGTATGGTATCGCTAAGCGAGACAATAAGAAACAATACTGTTTTGAAGATGAAGAGAGCTAACTCTAACAACATTAATTGGGTAACAGCAGATATATTCTTTTCTCAATCCCTAACCTCGAAAATGGGAGATTCCAATTTTCCGTTATACGTTACAGACCAACAAAACAGGACAATAATTCAGTATCTTCACGCAGTTGTAAGTTAGAGAAAACATTCTTAATGATACGAGTATTACATAAAAGGTATAATTTATACAATTAATTTTGGAATAGAAATACGATAAAACATTAATGCAACACAAGAACTGATATGGGACAGGGTTTTTAAATCTTATACCTAATGGTCTAATACAGCGCGTAAATCATTTTTCGCTAACATTCGCCTGTTCAAAGATACCGCGAATAATAGTATATACATACGTTAAGGCAATCACGTTCCTGCGAAACATTACGGAAAAACCCGTACGCGAAATTAATTTTCAGCGTAATAGATATGATTGACAAAAAGCAATATATGAATTTGTTTATATCATACATACGGTATGAACATACATAGACAAAAATGACGCAGTAAAATATACATGATAATACTAAAATCATGATAGTTTTTAAATGACTGACTTCGTCTTGTTTACAAAGCTGTATATGATGCAGTGCACTATGTATAACACAGGTAAAACAAGAACAGTTTTTAATTAACTGACTTCCCGTGTATTGACACAGCTGTACAAGGATAATGTTCCTGGAGCACCGTGTACTGTCATCCTCCATCGGGATGTTCAATCAGCGTTAGCTTTATTCGATATTGATTTTACGATCGAGTTAATGAGCTATACAGCCCAAACACCAAGGGAAATTCATAATTCATAACTGCATTACCAGTCCTGCGGTTTGTGACAGGGTCGCCCAGGTGTTAATGAGCTATACACGTAGATAATTTCAAATTTTCATGTAAACCACAACTTTATTTATTTAAAAACAATTATGAAAAACAAAATATTTTCAATATTTCCATACTGGTACTCTTGTCGGCCTGGCGAAAAGCACACTTTCAATTAAAACTAATGACATACAAGATACATGATTGATTAAACTAATGATAACGTTAATCAGATGTATATCGAACATAATGTTTTAAGAAGTATGCCGACATTAAGAATTTTTCTTTTTGTATACATGTATAATATTTATTTTTTTGTTATATTTCCCGTTATGTTGTACAACATGGATTAAACACCGAGTTTTTCCATCTTATTTGCTCCTTTATAACGTGACCATCAAAAACAGCAATATTAAGGACGATACAAACTCTTTAGGGTTGCAAATGAAGGCGGAAAGAAGGAAAAAGACTGAATTCGTTTACATTCTAATCTAAAACCGAAGTAATTTGCATAACCGATTTCATGAATTATTCAAATAACCTTATAATAGCCTGATTCTAGAAAGAACTAAATTCCTGCTGGCTATGCATAACATTCTCTAGCAACAGATTCGCATACTTTTGTTTCTTTCGCTGCATTCTCAACTGCATAACCGTCCGTCTTGCTTTATGGATTGTTCAGTAACAGAGTTATTCGTTTGGCATACGTTTGAAGTCTAAACACCTAGTAGTGTTATGCGGATATTAGAAGTTTTTATAAACTTAATAAAGAAATGAACTAAAACCTCTTGCCAGTCAAACATGTCGGTTTTTTGGCATTGCAATTGCAACGTTATGATGCATTTTAACTATGTTGCTGGGATGAAATTGAATCCTGCAACATGTTTCTTTTTCAGTTTTAATTACAATGATAAAACAATCTATTTAAAATTGACCTTAGTGTGTTAATAGGCTTATGAAGGTGAATACAACCAGTATTAAATACCCGAAAAATCAATCAGACGTTGTCTCATATTCAGTACATGTATTGATTGATGTACATTCATGGTGTATAGCTATTTGTTTAATGTCTCTTTGATTCCTGTTTCAAATATGGAATGTTCTGTTATAGTGTTTTATTTTTTATTTTGTCTTTGATCCTTTTATAGGTATGATTTGTAGATTCATAACCATATTTTATCACAATTATATATTGTCTCTTAGCTTGCATATGTTGACATCCGATCGTTACATATCCAATCTGTCGTAGTCATGGTATTATAACTAGGTAATATTTTCGATCTAATGGCTACCTCCTTTAGCTTGGATATGCTGTAATTATCAAATATCGGTGTCTCTAACAACATCTTGTATTTATGATGGTATGTTAAAGCTATATCATGATTTCTTATCTTGTCTCTTAGTCTCCTTTTATATCTGTGATGGTATGTTGCCATGGTTACATGTGGTAGTTTAAGGCTTCTTCTGTATCATTGACAGCATGCTGTCATGATGACGTCTCATATCACCAAGCCCCTGTATGGTTTTCATATGATACACTATACTCTATTCTTGTATCCATGACGATTTGCTGTCCTGGTCATATCTCGTATAACCAAGCTCCTGTTTTATCCATAATGATATTTTGCCATGGCTACATTTCTTGCCCTCTAGTTTGTAAGCAGGGCAGGCATGTTGTCATTTTCACATCTTATATCCTCTAACCTCCTCTTGTAATCAGGCTGTATTGGGAATTCTCCATTTGCTGTCTCCTTTCCCCCATCGAAGCACGTAGCCTGTTGAATACAGCACTCAGCTATCGTTAGTGCCCTGTGAATGCAACGTGTTGCCTTGTATCCTTAGGTTCTACCGGTATTGATTATTTTTCTCCGATAATGTGATTATTTTTCTCCGATAATGTCCTTTTCCTTTACAAGACTTTTTGCGTTTCCATGTAGCTTATTACTATGGTAAATAGAAGCTTTGAAGCCGTTGGCACGTTATTAGGGCTATCAGACCGTTGGTCGGTATGCAATACCTCTTCATCACGTGTCGTTAGTCATTATGTACGTGTAGAGCTATGAGTCATACACGTATTTTTTAAAAATCATATTGTATAATGTATATTCGGATATAGCATTTAATTGACTGACTTAATATAAAATGGTTTTTTTATTTGTATATTGTAGTCACCATTAAAAAGTAGATGTGCATGATTATTTTTCGATAAAGTGTATTTGTTTTAATAATGACTTCCTGTTTTATTTCAAAAGAAAACGGAATTACACTGAAACTAATACAAATAAAATCTGCAATATATGATAATACAATAAAACGTTATAGAGTTAGATTCTCTAAAACTGAAATCCAAGTATCAGTTTTATGCATTGGAATATAAGCAACTATTTTTATGGTATTCAATATGATATATATGTATATCAGTTCCTCAAGTGCTAAATAGAGGTGAATCTTGTTAGAAAATCAGCGGCATTCAGAAAAACTACTGTATCAAAAATAAGTGTGTCAAATACAGCCAAAGGTGTTGTCAAGTTCGTATTGAAAGGTCCTTTTCATTGGTCAGTCTGATTTTCGAAAATGAAATGGGAGATTGGATAGATACTGCAATTATCTTTAATGATATATAATAACTGATATTTATGAATTCCAAATTAATTCCAGATTTTTTATGCATTTACTACGAAATTATAATCATTAAGATGGTTGATCCTCTGTATCCGCTCAATTTTGTCAAATGTTCACTAGGTAGTGTTGATGTGATGGCATGCTTCGGAAATTGCTATCAAGGCTTAAACTATGTTCTAAAGAATGTAATTGGGTCTGTGGTTCCCATACACATGAACATGCCTATGCCTTGAAGGTAATGTGTCCATATGACCTTTACTGATGGTAAGACATAAACTCATTTACAAACTGAAGTAGGAAATAAATCAATAAAACGATATCCTCAGTGATCATCATAATTAGATATAGTCAGTAAGTGCTTTTACTTGTTAAGCAAATTAACTATTGATGACATTAACTCAATGTATCGTTACGGCAGTTTATCCTTTCTTCTTGGTTTATCCTACAATTCCTATCAGCTGAAACAGTTTCATCATGGCACTGCATTGAAAACATCAATTGCTTCGGACCTGAACAAATTCGAATTACCGTACAATTCACTCACCTGTAGTCAGTACAAAACACATTTACTTCGTTTAGAGATTATTAGCTGTAACGTAACAACACTTCGTGTTACGTCGCTGTTCTTGTGTGACGAAGGTGCCCGTTAAATGTGAACTTAACAACTGAAATCCGTTAATCACTTAGAAACAGAGCAACACTGAGATCCATTTTTATTGTCTTTGTTTCCTTTTCAATGGTTACCTTATGTGTTAAACTTTACTACTAATTCTACAATATTTGTGGATCTGGTTTTCACGCATTTTGCTTGCGCTTAGTTCTTCAAAGGACTGGGAATCGTCAAAAGTAATGACACGTTAATAGAACAACGAGTTTAAATTGTTTTTGTTGTCGCGTTTTCTGGGACGCGAAAATGAATCCTTCGAGAAATACAAGTGCTGTGTTTTTGTAAATCGACGCACTTTTGCCAAGACAGATGTTCGCCCTTTACTCTTGAAACAAATATCCGTCCAGTTTTCATTTCGTCATCTACATCTTATTATTGAATATAATTTAAAAATTTGTTATGCTTAATTGACCCTCATTATTTTGGGCAAAAAAGACGCTAGTTAAACAGCGGCAAAATATTCTCGTTTTACAAACTTTTAAATACTATAGTCTTAAAGCTTTTGAGAAAGTGATATTCATGACCTGTTTTCTATATTTTTCAGACTGGCAGACTGCAGTGATAGGTCTGATGATATTTTCAGCATCCTTTGGGTTTGTCGCCACAATCCTGGCCGTTCTCGGCGTATGTACGTCCCCACTACCTAGGAAGATCTACTACTTTCACTCCGCAGGGGAAATTTTTCTAGTGTGTGGTACGTTGAATATCAAGTCATGTTATCTCGAAGTTCCTTCTGTTTAATAATTCTTAATATCAAAATCGGTTATCTCGAATAAGTATTAGTATCGGGTTCTTGACGGCCCATCAACTCGAAAGAGGTTGACAAGGCTAATAAGAAGTAGATGTTTATCTCGAATATTTATTATTATTGGATTCTTAACGGCCATCAACTCGAAAGTGGTTAACAAGGTCAATATTAAGTAGATGTTTGTCTCGAATAATTAGTATCATTGGATTCTTAACGGCCCATCAACGCAAAAGAGGTTAACAAGGCCAATAAAAAGTAGATGTTTATCTCGAATAATTATTATTATTGGATTCTTTACGGCCCATCAACTAAAAAGAGGTTAACAAGGCAAATAAGAAGTGGGTTGTTATCTCGAAGTACCGAAGTCCCCTTCCTGTCATTCTCAAAAAAAACTTGGCAAGAGAGTGTGTTTGATTGTGTCATATTGTCTATGTACAACAAAAATAATTGTGTTTTCCTTTTCTGTTCACAGCACTAAGTGTGGGCATTGCCTTAATTATATACCCTACCGTTATGGAGCTGGATCCCACCATAGAGGTTCATCTGTATGGGCCGGGGTATGGACTGGGGTGGGGAGGTGCCTTCTTTTTCCTAGTGGCAGCTCTGTGTATGACTTTGGACGAGTTAGTACGTGAATCTTCAAGAGCCAAAGTTTGCCGAATTTGTTTTAAATCCAGACAGCGCGAGCGGTCAGAACTACAAAGGGTTTGATATAAATCCTTGGACAGTGAGATATATAATCCGTTTTCTGAAAGGCAGGGATGTTCACAGGAAATGAGTTCTTTTGAATGAACCGCAATATCTATGGAGGAAGACAATTTTATGAATGTAGACCAGTTTTATATTGTAAGAACAATGGAATTTGGTTAAACCGAACATCAGAAGGGCCGATCGTTTTAATCTGGAAAGACAGGTTTAAGGTTGTATTTTCATGTAAATATATTTGAAAGCAAACAGAAGGTCTGGTGTACAGAGGTTTAGGGCTACTTGAAGTTCGGTCTAGACAGATTAAGCTGTGTACAAAGGACAGAAATACTACTCTAACAAGCATCAAAGAGTGTCTTCAAATTGTGAATAATTAAAACGGAAGTTATTTCCGTAACATTGTATAAAAAATGTTTTACGATGAAAACAAAAGAGCAACTTTTTAGTTCAAACTTAATTTAATGTTTACAGTTCGTAATTGGAGTGCTGTTTTGGATTTGATATTGCAGGGAAATGCAGTCTGCGCATGCTCATTTTTTTCATTTTTAGGTCGTAACTTTAATTATATCTATTATTGAGATCATGTTTAAAATTTTCCTTCAGAGACTAATTGATGTGTTTAACGCAAGCTGGAATTTATCTTGTTCCTTGGCGGTTTTTTTCTGAACGGTTGCGAGTCTGCCATGATTGCAATTGTCAATTTGTCAATATCAGGCGCTTTCGATTTAAATATCTTTTTGATATGTCAATATGTCCAATATACCGTTATTTTCATTATTATTTCTAGATTGCTGCACAGTTGGTTGTTGATTTCAAATATTGATCCTGGCAGAATAGCAGATATTCCTGCCTTAATATTTTACTTCTATTATAAGCTTCCTTGAAAACCACCGAATAATTTTCAAAAAATCTTTGGTACCAAAATTCTTCGAATTTCCCTTATGTTAGCACCAGTGATTCCCATGTCAAATTTTTCCAATGTTGACTAATTAATCGCAAGTAAATTAGTACTTGAAATTATTTACCAGATGTTTAAGAAGTGTCCGCACGTGTTAATGATGATAGATCATAAAGTTTCTTATATATATGGTCTTCTAGCATGACATTTTTATCACGTTCAAAACTTTGCATGTTTGGTAAGGGAAAAAAGCACTACAATCAGGCATCATCAATCACAATTCATCAGACTGTGCTATTATCCAGTCAGAATTTGTAAACAACTTGGAACTATTAGTTTTACGAACAAAATATCGTTTTCGAGTTATCAACGAAAATTTCATATTTATCTTTGAATATTAAATAAAAAGACATTAAACTAAAACATTTGTTTTACCTGAAAAGAAGTGGTCGGATTGACCAAGCTAGATTGCACGTGATTACAGTGCTTCTCTTCGAGATTCTAGGGGTTACGCTCACTATATTCTTTGCGTGAGTGGGCGTACATGTAACTCCTGTTATTTCGAGGAACATGCTTACTTGTTTTATTACTTTTAAACTTGGGTATTGATATGTGGTTAAGATTGACATTATCTGTAATTGTGATACTTTTTATCATTACAAACTGTTCACGCCTTTCACTTACCATAGTTAATTATCCCTCCGCGGTTCAGCTATAAAATTATTCCATCAAACTGATGATCTTTCAAGTGTTACACGTTTTAACTGTTGCTGGTTTTTTTTTATCACAAAACCAAAATACTTGTTATAATTTGTTGTCATAATTATATTTGTTGGTTATGAATATTTCATAATAATTTGTTGAAATTATTCAGAGTATACTAGAATTTTACATTTGTAAAAAAAAGGCAATTTCAATTTGTATGTTATATCAAATCTTATGTGTGTGTGTTTTGAATGAAAATGATCGTAAATATACATTGGGTTGTGCTTTTTTCCTCTACACTTTACTTATTCCTTATATTGCATTGAACACAATAATAGTTAAAGTGGTAAACTGTGTGTTTAAATGATTTGAGATTAGCAAAATCAAAATATTTTGTCAATTGATCGAATTTTATCATATTTCTGCTTCAATTTTGACAATTGCTTGCCTTATTACCATAATACAATTAAGCTTCCATTAGCTACGTTAGCAACTGTTTGTACAGTAAAACATATGTCACTATGATTAATCTAATATTGAGAGTAAAAATGTGAAAACTCAAAATGTGAAAGTTAAAAATGTGAAAACTATAAAATGTGAAAGGATGTATATACATAGACACGTCAAACACTTTTTCATCATTTAGAGATTTTTTTGAATCGATGGTATTTGTTGGTCCTTAAGGATCCCCGTGCCACTGACAAAAACTGTTACTATGAATTAATTGTATACCTGCATGAAAATAACTTTAATTAACCATCTCTGAAAAGTACCAATAGCTAGTGGGAAGTTTTGAAACAAAATTCTTGAATTCAAAAATGAATTAAACAAAACAGATATTACTAACTGTGTCCTGAGAGTGAAAATGCAAAGGGACCAGGGCGGGATTTAAACCGCAGATCATAATGCGACCTCCCTCACTATCCGAGCTAGCAGTATTTTTTAACCCTGCCCGACTACTGTAATATCGAAAACGAAAATAAGGAGTTGCTTGTATGTAGGAAAAACTTCAGTGGTTTGCCCGCAGTGGGACAGGGATCCTTAATTGGTCCTTTATTTTCTGCAATATAAATGCAATTTTACAGGTAAATAAATATGCTGTGTACAGACACCCGTACGTCCGGTAAAAGATCCGTTTTTGTTTTCATTTGAATAACAATTATGGAACTATTGTGTAACTTCATAAAAATTAAGAACCAATCATGATGTTTTTTTCACACTGCGATGATATCGTTGATGTTTGCAATTTGTATTTGGATAAATCGTTCATTTAGGTGACACATAATTTTCCTGACCTGATAACCTAATGTGTGTGCATACCTTTGGTTATACATTTACCATGTTCACTTAGTCTTGTATTGCAATCAGTAGTCAAGGTTTTTTTAATTGCCAGAGAAAAAAAGTGAATTACATGAATATTACAAAAAATATATCATAACCGGTTGTTTTTTACAAAGAGAAGTTATGGATGGATTCCAGTGTATTTATAATCGGATTCGTCCTTCCTACGACATATTTTAGAGAAATTCGCAGATTACTAAACATGATTGTTTTATTGAGTGTGTCTGAATAAATATTTGCGCCATATTTGAAATAGCGATTCCCTTTTCGAACGAATGAAAGTGAAAGCAAACACATTTTAGAATTGATAGTTCTGTCGTAAGAAATGTACATGCATGTCGTTTCGGAATTTGATTTGTTTATTTACTACCGATATACCAGAGGGAAATATGAAAAAAAAAAATGTCAACATTAATTAGAAAAAACAAGCATTACATAGCATTAGCATACCAGTTTCATAGTCTTTGTAGCTTTAAACCTTTTTCATACAATGTATATATGTATATTTTATTTTCAAAAAATTTCATTATCTGAAAGCAAATTTGTCGACTTGGATTGCATTTTAACTCATTCACCCCTGAAGACACATTTGAACTCTTCCAGTTCAAATGTTGGAATAGTTCATTATGAAATTTCAGGGGTAAATTAGTTAAGGTACCTAGCACTACATACAGATAAATAGCAACGCTACTGCTATGACAAACCCTGGTATTTATTACCTGAATATATGGCAACGTACGTTTCCCATAATTGATATTATATGAGGCAAAACTAACCCTAACCCAATAGGGATATCAACGAAAAATGAGTTATAGACACATGTATGACATTCAGTACTGCTTAGCATTTGAGAGACTCTTTAAACAATATATTTTGTTATATTTGAACAGGTATAATGAATCTTGTAAAGTTTTTCAAGAGAAGAAAATTGAAAAAAACCCAGATTTATTCCAAGAATTATATTAAACGAACCTGGCTTTTAGTAGTGCATACAAGGTGACACACATTTTTTAGTGAAGGCGGAGTTGTCTCCCTTTCTTCTATGTATTGCACACGAACTGGTAACGACACATTCGACGGGAGATAATTCTCATGCCGTATTGTTCCCTCTTTCATATTGCTAAATATTATATAAAGAACAAGGAATTTTTTCTACTCAGTTAAGTACTTCGCGAACATTCAAGATGCTATAGAATAGTATTGTACGTTCATCGATGCAAATATGTAAATAAAAATAAATATATAAATATACAACATTTGATATAGACCCCTATCTAGCTAACATAAGCCACTCTAAGGCGCTTTACAGTACATAGATATACAATTAATACAATGAGCATATACATTAATCAATACAATTTTTGAGAGATTCGCAGGAGCTGCTTTATCATGCGCTAACTACTAGTCCTATGCCACCTGGCTAATATCTCCCTATGTGTGTGCTGGAGATGTAAAGATAAATATACTTACTGCATCACTCACGACGGTTATTTTTTGGGAAGCATTACATACCTAAAACATATACGGTGAACTTTTTTGACATTTATTGAGTTTGCGATACTATAACCATTGAAATAAGACTTTAGCGATACCATTTGCCCAACAACATGTTGGCGTGATAAAGGGGTTTGGCGACAAACGGTGACATCCATGATCTGCCTAAAATGGAAAATTTAACCTAAAATATGTTGGCTATTAGCACAATTGCGAAGGGAACTAGGAGCTGGGTATCGTGTTTACAGTCTGTAGGACGCAACATAAAATTATTTTTTCATAGACTGTAGGTTACTCACTATATTATTAAAGTGACTAAATAACACTCATCTGGTAGTGTTTAAAGGAATGTTTTTTTGTCAAAGAATAATAATATAAACTCATTAAAATATCCTCGGTGACCCTAAATCAAGTATCAAAGCCATCGTTCTGATACATATCTATAACATATTCGGTTGTTTGCATTTCAAGATAACCACTTACTTGTTTAACATTAGAGTATCTAGCACTTTACACCTGTGATCTGTGTTACAGTTTATTCCTTAATTGTTTTTTAATCAACACTATAGACTCATATTGTGCGTGTCAAAACAAAGCAGCACAAATCCTTAAATAGCGATTAAAGAGTGATCGCCCTATCATACATGGATGAGTCAATGCTACTTCTAGTATTCAAAGCAGGGATCCTGTTTAACAAGCATAATATTATAGGTTAGATCAAACATTGGAATTACTTTTCAAAATGTATAGAAATTGGAGTCGTTTTTTAATATATTACCTGAATCAAATGGATGATAGTTCATGTGCAATCCGTACTTTGTTACCAGTTAAAATAATTAACAAAAAATAAATGCATATTTGAATATCATTATGGTACTAAACGTTGACAAAGGTGTGTCCAAATTGTCTCAAATTTGATTGGCTTCATTTACGGTTATCTCGTTTTTTGTTTTATATCATAAACACTTTATAAAGGATGTTCAAGGAACCAAACTATAAGCCATGTTTCATGTCATCAATGTTGCTTATTTGGATATCCCAATAGTGTATGTTTTAGCAAAGCTTATGAATCGTCTTACTCTCCCCTTTAAGCAAAGATCGGATTCAGTGGGGCATTGTTTATGTGCTAATACAGATTAACATATGTCTAGTAATACAAGCAGTAGCCTTATGCAAATCCGATATTTTCAAATGACATAGGGTGTTTCATTGTGTATCGATTAAAAAACCTCCGATTTTGATATTACAGTATGTGTTATTTTCAAAATAAGGCATTGAAAAAAAGGTAAACGTCATTTGCAAAGGTTATGAGAAATCTGGTAATGAATAAAATGTATTGTTTTGACAAACTAGTTTGAGAGAAATTTAAACGAATTCTTTTCTTCAAATTGCGCCAAGATTTTAGAAATAAGTCAATCTAAAGCGCATTACAGTACTTAAAAGAATGAGCTTTATAAACTTGAATCAATGCTATTTTCATAAGAATTAATAATGAAAAATACACATTTAAAACACAAATGATCAGCATTAGTTAAAAACACGATGAAAGCAGTTACTTTGCACGGGACGATTTCCAAAAAACTAACGGTACCCGGGAGAGAAAGTTCAAAAATAAAAATCAATAGTAGACATGTTATGTAAAATGGACATCATAATACTTGCTGAAGATAGAGAATACATTATAAAAAAAGTACTCACCCTAATGATGTGTCTAATGTACGAAGAATGACAAGAATGATACGATGAGACCAGCTAGCGATATACAGACGTTTTCCTCATATGCAATAATAAAGTATGTGTGCATACAAGTAATTAAGACCTTTTACATTTTAGAAATGTTATTGTTTGAGATCTGTTTCGTTTGTTCAGATTTTATCTAGAATAATAACGCATCGTTTAAACGTAACGAAAACAATGGTTTGTTGTATGTTAAATACATGTGACTAACATAAACACTTAAATAAATAACTTGATTCAGCTGATGTATCACATTATATATAGAAAGATTAATAATAAATGGTTGATGTAAATCTGCCGATTACTATCCTTTCGTGACAATCATTTTTGTGATTCGTCAGAAGAGATGGTAGCGATCTTAAGTGTTTTACAATTATTTATTCAGACACATTGAACTATTATTGATATACGTTCATGTTCCTGATTTGAACGATATTTTCTTGATATGTTTTGTAAAATTCGCCCAAAGTGAAAAGATTTGCCCATCTACAAGTACCATCCTTAATTTTTCTGAGCAGAAAATTCAAACATAACCAATCTTTTTTGACTTTATGA